CCTGCCGCAGTCCATCCATGCACAGAAGATGGAAACGATAGACCTCCACTGCCAACACGGCTGTCGCGAGGCACCTCATTTCATCGCCCCCTTGCTTTAAGAATGATAGCGCCTATACGGCATTCAAGGGATGGAAAAAATTGCCTTCCTTTGTACGGTTTGATCTTTTAGACTACGACACCTTCATATCTTCAGCCTTGGCTACCAGACACAGCGTCGAGTTTATACTTCGTCCCATGACCGTTCCATCGACCCCTGTTGACAACTTGCCTAGTATCATGTAGTCGTCCTTCATCATCACCTCAATATAAGAACAGGAGCGCTTATAAGATGCTCAGGGGATGGAAATGATCACATTACTTTGTGCAGTAAGGTGCGATCCCGAACCACAGTTTTACAGATTTCCTCATTCCCTTCTGGACATATTGCCTCGACTTCCGACTACCCGGTTACGTTGATGCCTTGGTGGTCAATTGTGAAGCTGGGAAACTGGGTTATTTCATCTACATGGGGTTTGGTTCACAGGCGAGTACACCTCTCCACGTATCGTCCAAACGGTACACGATCGGAGACCCCTGTTTCTGACTCTTCAACTTTGCAGTCTTGTAGACGACCTCATATACCATGACTTCCCTCTCTTCCACTGCCACTTCCCCCTTGTCAGTGGATAGTGTTCTGGGATTGCCCACACCAGCCCACGTTGTGACCGACTGTGATCCGGAGATCAACACCATTGGCACAGCAACAGCCTCGAGATAAAAGCGCTTATCCAGGACGTCACTTGCTGGCAGAGAATTCTTGGTCACGCCCTGTTGATCATGTCCACTGACAACATCACCATAGTGTGGTGTATGAGGAACCATGGTACTCTCCACTCTCCATCCCTGCTAAACCAGACCCTCGAGTTCCTTGACTTGGTGGTCAGCCTGGACCTGTACTTTAAGAAAAAGGAGCTCGTCTTGCACTCACCAGGATGAGAGCATGTTCTGGCACAGGCTCTGTCCAGGTCTAACTAGGTGGCTCCCACCGAGTAGAAGCTCCACCCAGAGGTCTTCGATAGACTATGTCAAATGGTCGACAACACCAAAACATCGATCTGTTCGCCACATCTCTGAACTGCCAGCTCTCGCCTTACATTTCACCGGTGCCGGATCCAGCCACTGTGGCATTTGACGCCTTCAGTTGTTCCTGGGAAGGATTACACTCGTACGCATTTCCGCCTCCGGTTCTCCCTCCCACGGTTCTTCAAAGATCCAGGCCACTCGGCACCTGACACTGATTTTGGTGGCCTTGGTGGCCGGCCAGAAGTTGGTTATGGACCTCAGAAACATTGCCAGACACAACCCCTGGAATTTCTGGTGTGGTCCAACCTTCTGCTCCATCCACACAGTCGGTTGCCACACCCTAACACCCGTCTGCACGCCTGGCACAGCTGCAGAAAGCCCCATGAGCCAAGGGCTATTCGGCTCGAGCGGCCAAGGCTATTGCTTCAGCCCACCGTCCATCTACATGGGGACTGTATGATGATAAATGATGCTCGTTCCAGGCATTTTGTTCAGAGAAACACCAGGATCCGATGACAGCGTCACCGCAGTTCCTGACTCAGTTCCTTCTGTACTTGTGCAGCACCCGTCGGTTGAAGGGCTCTACCATCTCCACATACCTGGTCGCCATCAACTCCGTTCTTGCCATCCCGGACGATCGGAGAATGACGAAAATTCCCGAACTACAGGCCTGGCTGCGCTCGTTCCGTCTTGAAGACCAGAAGGCCAAGTTCAGACCACCTGCGTTGGATCTGAATGTGGTCTTAAAGGCCCTTCAGACGGCTCCCTTCGAACCACTCCACTTGTCTTCCTTCTACAACCTGAGGAAGAAGACGGTGATGCTACTGGTTTTGGCTACTGCCGCTTGGGTCAATGAGCTCCCGCCCTCGACGTCTTCCGTGTCCGGTTCGAATGTGGTACTCAGGGCGCCGTTCATCGTGGACCGTGCTGGGACTTCATTGTAAAGAATCAACCCCCAGGACAGCCTGATAGATCATTCATTCTCCCCTCCCCCCATCATCCATTGTGGGTCCCGAGGATGATGAGGAGCGTTATTATACCCAGTAAGGACACTGAAGGTTTTCTACGACGATCTAAAGCCTGCCGCAAGTCTAGGAAACACCTTTTTCTCCCGGTCACCCTTCGTTGCAGTCGTTGGTCAGCCAGAATGGTCATCCTCAAAGCTTATGAAGCTGCCTCCCTCCCCCAAGGCTATCAACCCACACGAGATCAGGGTGATCGCATTTACCAGGGCTCTTCACAGTATAACTGTTCCATCCAGTCGCTCATGGAAGCCTGTTCTTGGCGATCGGACACTGCCTTCACCAACCACTACCTCCGTGATGTAGCCTTGGAAGATGTTGCCGGCGTTCACAGTTTTGGTCCCTGGTTGTAGCCCAACAGGTCACCTATCACCGACGCCACTGATTCTCCGATACCCTTAGCGGGGCCGTCGACCTCTCTGGTGTTTATCACCCCAGACAAGACGTCCCTCTTGCGTTCCGCATTCGCTCTTAGGTCAGTTTTAGTTTTTGCCTACCTGCCTCATTCTATTTTTGTCACATATCCGGGTTTTACTTTTTGCATCAACTCTCGTTACCTGACGACAGGAATGGTAGTAGATGTTGACACCGGGGCCGACGCCAACGCTGCTGATTCTCCAGGCTAGAGGACTCCTGCGTTTCACATTCGCTCTTGGGAATGGTCATAGATATTGCCACCGACGCCGTTGATTCTTCGATACCCCGAGCGGGGCCCGCTGAACTCTCTGGTGTTTATCACCTCATATTAGAGGACTCTACTGCGTTTCGCTTTCGCTCTTAGGTAAGTTCTAGTTTTTGGCTACCCGCCTCATTCTATTTCGGTTACCTATTCGGGTGTTTCGTTTTTGCATCGACTCTTGTTTCCTGAAGACAGGAATGGTCGTAGATGTTCTGGTCATCACTTGTATGCGGTGCGGATTCATCAGACCTTGACGAGGGTTTATTATGGATCACATCTGAAGGTATGCCCACCGGCCATGCCTTCTGATAAAGATGCAATACGAAGTAATGCAGGATAAGTTAAAAAATTTAGTAAAATCTAAATATTTTTTACATTTGTATACTTATCCTGCGTTACGAATAAGTGCCCTCCCTTCGCTACGCTGCCTCCCCACGAAGTTTCAGATGTTATATTTAAAGCAGTTATGTGTTTTGATGTGACGCCATGACTTCCGGGTCACGTGCCGACTGTGAGAGGGCGCTGCTTCCTGTACTGGTTGGGACAACTTTTCTTCAACAGCTGGATCTCACACAGTTCGTCTCTCTGTCAAAAGACAGCAGTAAATGCAATACAGAGTAATGCAGGAGTATACAAGTATACAAATGTAAAAAATATTTAGATTTTACTAAAATTAATATGTGTCAACTCAATTGGATTAGGTTGTGGGTTGTGTAGGTGTCATACACGACAGGGAAATTCTATAAAAGAGTTATGAATGGGAAGTAATACATAAGATACTTAACTTGCTCCCGTGCAATACCAATTTTATGAAATTAATGAATAGCTCTGGTATCTGACTCGCTTTCGCTCGTCAAATACCAGAGCTATTCACTCGTTCTATATTTATGCCCACTGCTCAATCGTTTCTGCTCAAGATGAAGTGTGATGCATTTAAATTCTGGCAAAATGAATTTTTAGTTTTGTAAACAACTTCTCGGAGATTGCCAGACTTAGGAAGCGGAACTTTGACATGTATAGGTCTCCTTATGATGACTTCATATTTTGTTCAAATTGTTAGGATTTTAGTGTAGTTTTGTGTGAAACAATTGGAGAAATTGTATGGCATTCTCCTTAGAAAGTATATAAGGCTCAAGGTTGAAACTTTACATTGAGATAAGGTTTTGCCATTGCCGTCATCATGACAGTGTGTTTTGAAAACTACAAGCAATTCAACATTTTCAGAAATAAGGTTTTTTTAGGGTGGGTTGTAAAGAATTTAGTTTAATCTCCTACTTTGAACTTTTGAACTTGTCCCTAAGATGCTGCCCTTATCGACATTATAAACTGTTGACTACATATCCGGGTGAGCTACATTGCCATGGCATTATGTTTTGTCAAAATGTAACATTTGTTTGTTATCTAACTTTGCACTTAACAGTATTCCAGATAGTTGACAGCTGCCTGTAAATAGGCTAATCAAATCTGGAGCAGACAATCCAGTGATTGATATTGTGAGCAAACATCTATGCGGTTGGGATACGATAACCCAAAGTCACTGAGCCTGACCACCCAATCCAATTGGTGACAAGTTATGACTAGCACCTTGGGGTCACCTTGGAGTAATGACATCAAAGTTACTACATGTGTAGTTAGTACTGGGTTTTGCAATATTCAAAATTTTCACCTTTATTTGTTCACAAGATTTTCAATACGACCGCACTAGTGAAATAGCTTCATATGGTCATACTCAGTCATTTTCACAATGCAATGAAATTTGGGACGTGTGGACTTTGATTTGACCTTCTCATTGCCATTTCACTAAAAGCTAGGCATTTATGTAGTTGGTAGTGGGGCTCAACACATGTATCATTTGTCACAATATTTCTTTGAATTTCTCGTAAATTCTCTAAAAATGCATTTCTGTAAACATACTATTGTCAGAAATCACTGAATGAATGAAGCTGAAACATGAGATACTTGTTCCACACCAATGATGACACATGAAGTTTTCAAGAGGGGTTCCAATCCGATTTTCAATATGCCCACCATAGTGCTGCTATATCAGAAGTTTGTGAACTTTCAGGAAATGCAGGGATGGCACTGCCTTATTTGTTGCATTTAATGCTCTCCTAAACTGGTATTGCTGAAAAAGGCACATAACAATGCCTCACAACCATAACCTTTCATCTTTTGATGTACACATTAGTGATGCATGTGGTAGTTAGACTGACTAACAGAGCTGTCTATCTTCAGGTGGATCCACGACTACCAGGATGCCTGTGTGGACAAACTGGAGCAGTTCCTCCGTGGAGAAGTCAACACAATCACCAAGCGAAGCCAGCTAGTCAGCATGGGTAGTCAGGGATCCTTTGAGCGCGCTTCTGTACAGCCCTCATTCCACTGGAGCTCCAGTCATGAGAGCAACAAGGGAGAAGCCAACAGCCCTGGCAGTGAGAGGGCAGACAGCTTTGACACGGGCAAGAGAGTGGCCAGTCCAGACAGCTCCTAAATACTGCCACAAACCAGTTGACAAATCATGTACAACAATCTCTTTTGGTTAAGAGACAGCCAGTGGTATTCTTAACTGTTTTGTGTCTGCACAGATGATAGTCATCTGCATATTGATAGTAGATCTCAATTTGCATCGTAGAAAGTTTGGATGCGATGATCTGTTCTGTGCCCTTTTGATAAGGCACAACTGTTTGCATCAGTTTAGGAAGTTCGTTTGTGAGCAGTGATGTTGCAGTGGATGTTATTATGCATAATGTGTTGAAGTATCTGCTGTTATTCAGATATCTTCAGTATTGCCGTATATCACGGTTGTACAGAGAGTGACAGCAACCTTTATCCTGCATGCTCCTTCAATACTCACACCCACAGAAATATGTATTCAGGGATTGTTGCTGCTAAAATAATGTTATGCTGCATTGCTGTGCACATTAGCTGATCTTCAAAGCATCACAGCAGCTGCTAGGTTATCATCCATGTAGTTCTCTCAGCGGGGGACTTTTATGCTAAATAATGGTGATTGACTTCTAATTGGAGAGATTTTCTGTTTGGACATAGTTCTGCTCTTGGTTTTAATGTTTCCACTCTAAGTTGAGACAGAACTGATGCATTTTATACAAACCTATCTCAGTCTGCATATCTTGTCATGTATCTAAACCTGGACTGTTGTCTTTGCAGTTGTTATTCTCAGGATTGGTGCTTTTCAATGTTAACATTTTAACTTCAGTAGTTTTGCCATGTTTTTTATGAACATGCATATGGCTATGTTTAGCTCACCTAAGCTCACGTATAGCAAATGTTAATGTGACCTTATGTCATGCGACATTGTCCACCCAAATGTGAATGATAAAAATTTGTTTTCAAAGTTTCATTTGGAACTGTAATTATTTGTATGATATCCATGGTATGTTTAGAAAATGTTCACAGGAATCTGGTCCAAATCTGCTTAGCCACCAGGACAGCCATAATGAAATGTCATACACCTTTCTTTTAAATTTACCTGACTTGTTGGATTACTTGATAACTGAGAAAGGTGATGTATTTAATGTAATGTTATGCAGGATAAGTATACAAATATTAAAAATGTCTAGGATTTTACTAGGTTGCTAACATCAAAATACAAAGAAATTAAACCTCACTGAGACTGCTTCTGTTTGTGCAAGTACTTGCACACACATCTAGTTTTATTTTGTTTGCATGCACAAACAACGTTTGAGTCATTTAATGATGATGATAATGATAATATAATTAATCTACTCCTAAGGGAACAGACCCTCCACAAGGATGTGCAGAGCAACCTCCCAGGCATCAGTGTGCTGCAGGCCGAGTGCATGGGGATAGAGCTGAAACAGTAATCTCATGTCAACCCCTCTCTTGTAAACTAAGGAGAACTCTATATTTGATGATCCAAAGGACTTGTGAGTGAGCAAGGTTTCAGCACATCAAGAACTATTCAGGTGAGCTGCAGAGCTGAGCCTGCAACACACCGATGCCTGGGAGGATGCTCTGCCAACCTTGTCAATGTGGGGTCTGTTCCTTTAGAAGTTAAGTTGTCCTCTTTATTGTGTTTCTTTTGTCACCTGTGTTGATGTATTGGTCTGTTCAAATCTCTTTTATTTTCTTGTTTGTTAGATTCAGTACATCTGGTTATGTGCTTTGTATTTGTTAAGTTACCAGTCCCACAATAGACACAAGTATCTTTCCAAGGTGTCTCCAGGGATCTTGGTGGTATGACTGTCACAACTCTCAATATTTTACACTGATGTTCAACTGAAAAGCTAACGTTCTACCGTGGATGGATAGGTCTGCTTGTGTCGTGACTCAATGAAGTTAGAAAGACAAGGTAACACAAGACATGACTTGCAGTGAGGAAGTGTTATGCACAGGGTTGAAGAGTTTTGATGGTTTTTTCCCACCAACACAAAGACATTACCATGAGCATGTAACAAGTCAACAAATCCATACTGAAGTCGGCAAACTAATCACGTAATTACACTGTATAGTTATAAAAAGTGTTCATTTTGTATCTGGACTTAGATTTGTTATCTATTTAATTAATTTTATTCAAAATTTCATTCAATATTGTTTACATTAATATCCGCGAAATTGTATGTTAAGTGATCGGGAGATTGCACAACTTACCGTTATTTACAGCAACCATGGTCAGACACCTTGAAACAAACTTTAGTGGATAGAGAATGGATGTATATATATATCATAAATGCCATACATTGACTCGCTGAAAGTCATAGTGTTGTAGTATGACTAGTATATGTCAACATAAAGTTTTCGGAGCACGGGAGCAGCGATGGTGACTGATCAAATTGTTCCATATGAAAATATATTCGGCAATAGTGATCAGCTGAACCAGAGTGCTATGCTTATGGTTATTAATTTATTTCAAATGTATATAGTGAAGCTGCAACTAAAATAACATGATATTGGAATAAATTATTCCTGATAAAATAATTGTTTCCGATACAATTCATTTCATTAATTTATTTCAAATGTATATAGTGAAGCAGCAACTAAAATAACATGATATTGAAAAATTATTCCTGATAAAATAATAGTTTCCCATACAATTTATACGATCATTGTATCAAAATTCTTTTAAGTTATGTCATTGGGTAATTTTTAACTGCATAGCTGATTGTTGCTACACACGGTAATCTTAATCTCTGCGTATCAGAACAGGAAATACAAATTAATCGGTACATCATCATATCTAGTGATGTTTTATCTTACATTTCAAATTTGTATTGACCAAGTTTAATTGTAATGATCCGTTCGTTTCTCTGAAGTCGCTGAAGGGAAACACATTTTTATTGCAGATCTAGGGATTGTGTAGGCACTGGTGCAGTGCTTCATTCCGATTCGCTTTATAGACGGGGTATACATGTATGGATTAGCATCGATTTTGAAGGCTTGTACAGGGGGGTCGCCTTATACGTGGGGTTGCTTTATAGACAGCGATATATGGTACATGTCAAAATCTCTTGCAGTTGAATAGTCAACCTACTGTAGTGGTATCAGTGGTATACAGTCAGGCCACTCCGTCTACTGCAGTGGTATACAGTCAGGCCACTCTGTCTACTGCAGTGGTATACAGTCAGGCCACTCTGTTTACTGCAGTGGTATACAGTCAGGCCACTCTGTCTACTGCAGTGGTGTACAGTCAGGTACCTGTCTACTGCAGTGGTATACAGTCAGGCCACTCTGTCTACTGCAGTGGTATACAGTCAGGCCACTCTGTCTACTGCAGTGGTATACAGTCAGGTCACTCTGTCTACTGAAGTGTTATACAGTCAGGCCACTATGTCTACTGCAGTGGTATACAGTCAGGTACCTGTCTACTGCAGTGGTATACAGTCAGGCCACTCTGTCTACTGAAGTGGTATACAGTCAGGCCACTCTGTCTACTGCAGTGGTAAACAGTCAGGCCATGCAGTCTACTGCAGTGGTATACAGTCAGGTCACGCTGTCTACAGCAGTGGTATACAGTCAGGCCACTTAGTCTACTGCAGTGGTATACAGTCAGGTCACGCTGTCTACTGCAGTGGTATACAGTCAGGCCTCTGAGTCAACTGTAGTGGTATACAAGTCAGGCCTCTGAGTCAACTGTAGTGGTATACAGTCAGGCCACTCTGTCTACTGCTGTGGTATACAGTCAGGTCACTCTGTCTACTGAAGTGTTATACAGTCAGGCCACTATGTCTACTGCAGTGGTATACAGTCAGGTACCTGTCTACTGCAGTGGTATACAGTCAGGCCACTCTGTCTACTGAAGTGGTATACAGTCAGGCCACTCTGTCTACTGCAGTGGTAAACAGTCAGGCCATGCAGTCTACTGCAGTGGTATACAGTCAGGTCACGCTGTCTACAGCAGTGGTATACAGTCAGGCCACTTAGTCTACTGCAGTGGTATACAGTCAGGTCACGCTGTCTACTGCAGTGGTATACAGTCAGGCCACTCTGTCTACTGAAGTGGTATACAGTCAGGCCACTCTGTCTACTGCAGTGGTAAACAGTCAGGCCATGCAGTCTACTGCAGTGGTATACAGTCAGGTCACGCTGTCTACAGCAGTGGTATACAGTCAGGCCACTTAGTCTACTGCAGTGGTATACAGTCAGGTCACGCTGTCTACTGCAGTGGTATACAGTCAGGCCACTCTGTCTACTGCTGTGGTATACAGTCAGGTACCTGTCTACTGCAGTGGTATATAGTCAGGTACCTGTCTACTGCAGTGGTATACAGTCAGGCTACTCTGTCTACTGCAGTGGTATACAGTCAGGCCATGCACTCTACTGCCGTGGTATACAGTCAGGTACCTGTCTACTGCAGTGGTATACAGTCAGGCCACTCTGTCTACTGCAGTGGTATACAGTCAGGCCACTCTGTCTACTGCAGTGGTATACAGTCAGGTCACTCTGTCTACTGAAGTGTTATACAGTCAGGCCACTATGTCTACTGCAGTGGTATACAGTCAGGTACCTGTCTACTGCAGTGGTATACAGTCAGGCCACTCTGTCTACTGAAGTGGTATACAGTCAGGCCACTCTGTCTACTGCAGTGGTAAACAGTCAGGCCATGCAGTCTACTGCAGTGGTATACAGTCAGGTCACGCTGTCTACAGCAGTGGTATACAGTCAGGCCACTTCGTCTACTGCAGTGGTATACAGTCAGGTCACGTTGTCTACTGCAGTGGTATACAGTCAGGCCACTCTGTCTACTGCTGTGGTATACAGTCAGGTACCTGTCTACTGCAGTGGTATATAGTCAGGTACCTGTCTACTGCAGTGGTATACAGTCAGGCTACTCTGTCTACTGCAGTGGTATACAGTCAGGCCATGCACTCTACTGCCGTGGTATACAGTCAGGTACCTGTCTACTGCAGTGGTATACAGTCAGGCCACTCTGTCTACTGCAGTGGTATACAGTCAGGCCACTCTGTCTACTGCAGTGGTATACAGTCAGGTCACTCTGTCTACTGAAGTGGTATACAGTCAGGCCACTCTGTCTACTGCAGTGGTATACAGTCAGGCCACTCTGTCTACTGCAGTGGTATACAGTCAGGTACCTGTCTACTGTAGTGGTATACAGTCAGGTACCTGTCTACTGCAGTGGTATACCGTCAGGCCTCTGAGTCAACTGTAGTGGTATACAAGTCAGGCCTCTGAGTCAACTGTAGCGGTATACAGTCAGGCCACTCTGTCTACTGCAGTGGTATACAGTCAGGTACCTGTCTACTGCAATGGTATACAGTCAGGTACCTGTCTACTGCAGTGGTATACAGTCAGGCCACTCTGTCTACTGAAGTGGTATACAGTCAGGCCACTCTGTCTACTGCAGTGGTACACAGTCAGGCCACTCTGTCTACTGAAGTGGTATACAGTCAGGCCACTCTGTCTACTGCAGTGGTACACAGTCAGGCCACTCTGTCTACTGCAGTGGTACACAGTCAGGCAACTCTGTCTACTGAAGTGGTATACAGTCAGGCCACTCTGTCTACTGCAGTGGTATACAGTCAGGCCACTCTGTCTACTGCAGTGGTATACAGTCAGGTACCTGTCTACTGTAGTGGTATACAGTCAGGTACCTGTCTACTGCAGTGGTATACCGTCAGGCCTCTGAGTCAACTGTAGTGGTATACAAGTCAGGCCTCTGAGTCAACTGTAGTGGTATACAGTCAGGCCACTCTGTCTACTGCAGTGGTATACAGTCAGGTACCTGTCTACTGCAATGGTATACAGTCAGGTACCTGTCTACTGCAGTGGTATACAGTCAGGCCACTCTGTCTACTGAAGTGGTATACAGTCAGGCCACTCTGTCTACTGCAGTGGTACACAGTCAGGCCACTCTGTCTACTGAAGTGGTATACAGTCAGGCCACTCTGTCTACTGCAGTGGTACACAGTCAGGCCACTCTGTCTACTGCAGTGGTACACAGTCAGGCAACTCTGTCTACTGAAGTGGTATACAGTCAGGCCAATCTGTCTTCTGCAGTGGTATACAGTCAGGCCTCTGAGTCAACTGTAGTGGTATACAGTCAGACCTCTGAATCAACTGTAGTGGTATACAGTCAGGCCTCTGAGTCAACTGTAGTGGTATTAGGGCAGGCCTCTGAGTCAACTGCAGTGGTATACAGTCAGGCCTCTGAGTCAACTGCAGTGGTATACAGTCAGGCCTCTGAGTCAACTGTAGTGGTATACAGTCAGGCCTCTGAGTCAACTGTAGTGGTATTAGGGCAGGCCACCCAGTCTTCTGCAATGGTATATCATTTGATGATACCAGCACTGATTTGAGTACATCTTCTTTGTGGAGGAGTATTTTGTTACACCTGTCCATCTGCTTGTTATTTTCAGTAGGTGTAATATGTGTCTGTGTTATGCTCCTGGTGCCACATTAAGTCAGAATAGATGTCATGTTATTTGTTTTTGCAAGGCAAGGAAGAAGATGTCACAATATAATGGCTTGCTGTTGTTTAAAATGTGCATTTTCTTTACTAGGTAATGCATGGATATCACAAGATGTTAGAAATGTGGATTGTTTCAAGGTATTCAAGACTTAGGTTAACTGACAACAGCTGTAATATGATAAAGGTAATGTTTCCCCATGCACATTATTCCAACACTTATCTCAATACAGCTGTTCCAGCCTACTTGAAGGCAACTACAGAATATTATACTCTACTATTCCATTGGAATGAGATGTCTTTTGCAGTAAGATGCATTGCATCTATTGTTTTCAAAGTAAACCACCCTGGAGATAACAGTTGGACCCCCTGTAACCTCTGCTGGTTGTAAGGACTCTGATTGTCTGTAGTTGTTGATTGCATGTCATCCTCCTCTGACGGCATGGGAAGTTGCTATTAATATCAATCACTGCCTTGTCTGGTCCAGACTCATTATTTACAAGCCGCTGCCATACTGTGAGGCATTTAATCACCCCCATTCACACACACGCACATTTGAAAGAACAAAGGTTAAAAGACAATTTCCAGAACCTGTGTCAGTGCTAAATTGCCTGACGCCAGAAAACTACTGCATATATTTATTGCTTGATCAAAAGATGAAAATATCTTACACTTGATAACTGCAATGAATTGCATGTCCATTACTCATGAATTATTTGTGCAGGTGAGAAATAGACAAATGTATATGATAGGGGCTGATTGTCTTAAGCTAAAAAAAACTCTCTGTTATATTTGTTATAATTATTTGATATTTTGTATTGTCTGGAAACTGGTGTGTCCAGAAGCTTTTGGGTATTCAAAAGACTTGATTAGGGACTATATCATCCTACTGTTTTTGTAATCCCTAAGTGCACTAGTCAGGCGTTCTTTCTTTCTGCACATATACTTTACTGATGTTAGTTAAGTATCTAATAGTTAAGTTTCTGTACTATTACTACTGGTATTTTAGAACTTTCTTGTTATTTTTGGAGCATTCCAGTTTTGATACAACATAGGATATTGTATTACATTGTTGAGTTTTCAAATATGAAACTTTGGTATTGATGCTTTATAGTCACATAAGTCCTTAATTTAGGATGCTTGTTGTTTTATTATGAAAACCATTTCTTTTTACATTTGTTATGACTGCTGCAGTAATATCATGGTATTACATTTTTTGTTCATAGTGTTAAACAATGTGAACCTCGATCAAGAGTTTATGGAGGCTAAAGTCATTGTGTCATTAAAGAAACATGTTCATTTTAAGAATTTTACAAAAAGGCGAAAGAAATTGTGATCCTGTACCTATTTTTCATTTTGAAATTTTTAGAAGCACATACATATAAAAACGTCATCTGTTTTGTTTTACAGGTTTTATATACATGTACTGTGCTTAATTGGGACGACCCGCAAGATTTTGTATTTTAACTCAGATGAGTCAAGTGAGCTTATGGCGTCTTGGCCTGCTTGTCTGGTGTTTGGCATCATGTGTAATCATCTCTTCAGAATCCACTAGACCATTGAAACAGAAATTCTGCATGCTTGTTCTCACAGTTAGTCGTGGGAATTAGGGGACATTTCTTTGTGATATTTATAATTTTGACCCTGCTTTCCACTTTGACTTAAATTCTTTCCTGTTGCATTCCTTTTCCATACATCTCCCCAAAACCAGTGAAGCTATTATTTCACATGCTTGTTTCCACTAATAGTGAAAACTGAATATGAGGTTCGGATCCTATTGTATACATTACTCAGCCATTTTTATTGTAAGTGTATCACAATGTAGTATCAGTGTGGTTAACAGTTGGACTCAACACATAAGAACTGCTTTTCATGGTATTTTAGAATTTAAGAATTGTTCACCATGTTGATATCTTCATTTATGAAAATTTATGAAAATGATTTTTTGAAATTTGAAGTCATTAGGTGAGCTAGTCCCATTGCACGTTTTCTACACATGAAATTCTGCTGAACATTCTGCCTTATAGTCTGTGTTTTTATTCCATGTGAAGGTGAAATGTGTGACGCATGTTGTGCCCTGTTACAGATGCACAGCTGTCTCAAAGGGAAAAGAAACTTGAGGTGTGACTTTCGTTTGGACCCCTGTATTGAAACATCATCAAGCTATCATTTTTTGTATTGGCAAGTCTTGTGTGCTCAGTAAGACTCCACATTGTTCAAGTGCAATTCATTCTGTGCAATATATTTCTTTGTCTGTTTATTCTTTTACTTCTAGTCCAAGAGATTGTTCCCATTTAAATGCTGGAATTGACCTAGTATTTGGTTGGTATTTTTGGATTGCCTGATCCTTAAAGTTCCTGAAACGTTGCATCGCAAGTGACGTTGAATAATGGTGACAGAGGTCAATGACCTATGAAGTTCAAGGTCAATGGGTCAACATGGAAAGTGCTCCTTCTTGAAGAAATTATTTTGATGAGTGTCAAATGAAAGCTTGTTTAAAGTCCCTTCTTTTATCCCTTATTTATAACATTTTGAAAGATTAAATATTATTTCTGGAGAATAGTGAAGACTTGGTCACAAAGCAGTAGTAAAGTAATTAAATCCCATGGCAACTCCTTGTAGATGCATCTCCTCTTGCAAAGACATTTTAAAGATACTTTCTACGACTCTGCCAAGACTTCTCCACAAACCCATAAAAGAATATCAACTTAAGATGAGATGTTTTTAGTGCATCTCCACTAGGAAAGACTGTACTGAGGCATTTGCAGAGACCTGAACAAAAGCCATTAAAAACATCAACTATAACAGTGATATTGCTCGTGTTTCTCCTCTAGCTGAGACTGTGAAGAGATTTTTATTCTCAAGCCAGGAAAACCCTCAACTTGAAAGAAACCATCAATCTCTACTAGAAAAGACTATAGCATTAGTGAAGATTATGCAGAAACCCCTCCACAAAGTAATGAAAGCTAAACATTTGGGGGAGATTTTCATGCCTCCTCTTTAGCAAAGACATGTGCTGAGACAAATGGTGATAGTTAGCTACAATTATTTGGATGCATCTACAGGACAGGAATTTTGAAAAAAGACTATTAAGAGATGTCTGAATTTTTCCATAGAAGATTTAGCAAAGAACAATTCTAAATGGAAGTTACACTAATGTAACATAATTTTCACAGACAGTATATGGTTTTGTAAATGAAAAAGGTATAATGAAATGGAGTTATCAAATTAATGCTTTATGTAGCTAACATAAGGCAAAACATAACACACTTAACCAGTATAAGAAAATCTGATACCTAATATGGAGATATTTGACCAAGTGTAAGTGAAAATAATACCAATTATAAACAGTTCGATAGGGATGCGTTTTAACAGATTGTACACAATGAAAGTCAGATTTCAGACAAAACAGTAATTTCAAGGCTGTACTGGGATAGCATTATTAACTTTATAATGAATCATCATCACGCATGTCATATTACCCAAATGGTTCATGACCGATCCAGCGAAAATCTTTCCCAAGCTACTGTGAAAGTCTTTTGTGTAAGTGCCTTCTGCGTAAGCGTTCGAGTTTTCTCCGTATCGGTACTTGTTAATTACAACCATAACATTACATAACAAAGACATTAGTCATATTTATGTAGAAATGGGTTTTTATTTTCCTAACAAATATGACACTCAATATTCCAAGACCACATAAGTTCAAGTGTAGAATCAGCCCAGTGGATATCGGTGAGGAGCTGGATGACGAAGACTGGAGTCAATGTGTGCTGTACCTTCTCCTGCAGGATGGAGCTCATGAGCGGTCTTTTAATTACTGCATCTTTACCTCAGTCTTGTGGCGATGACCGCAGCAAAGGTCGGAAGGTCGGAAATTAGGAAGTTTAGCCAGAAGAGTCGGGGACAACTTTGTGATTCTTCCTCAATTTGGACAGTTCATCGTTGTAGATCTGGGGTACAGTTGTCATCTCAATCTTGGCACGGTGCACAAACTTGGACTTGACGACGTCAACCTCCATCATGAAGGGCTAAATGGTTATGACCCTGTCCTGTAAAATAGAGGTCTCTGTCCATGGCGACTAAATTGGCCGGAACATCTCCAGTAAGTCATCTCTCCCTTCTCTGCCTTCTACTTTCTAACACGGTACTTGTGGCCAAGCTGCCACTGCCACGTCCAGACTCAATGAAAACCAAATGTACTTGCGCATTAGCCATGGCAATGTAAAGTATTTAGTAGGTGAATGATATAACCCTTAAATATGTAACGAGATACAACCCTAACTCAATTAATTAGGATTTAAAATTTACAATGCAAATAAAATATATTGCAATTGATTAAGGTTTATCACTGACTAATTCTTATAAACATTTGATCAATAATTGGATTCATAACAAAAAAGCAATTATGTTTGTAATTAATGAGCTGACATTTACTCGAATAGTTTATCTCTTTCACTTACTTTAATCCATAAATAATAACTGTTTATTATATTTTGGGCCTAACCAACAGAACCTATCGTTAATTAATCAATGACCTGCTCAGCGATATTCCTCTCTAATGTTTGATATATAGTCAGATGAATTATGAAAAATGAACCAACATTTACTCAAAGACATGATCTTTCACAAGCGTCGCACTGAGGCTAGTCAGTCCTGCAAATATTCTCTTCACTTGACATACTCATTCTGATAGACAAAGTGCAGCAATTATCCCACTTAACACTGGAAGCCAAAATATCTCGGGTCCTTTCAGATAGAGTCTGAACACTGTGGTTCAACCCTGTAGGTGAGTCCAGTGCCCTCTGCAGGGAAGGTGAACATCACAAGCAAGAGGATGAATGTGCAAGAATACTTTGGGTAGCTTGCATTGAGACCAGTTCCTTTGGTAAAATATGCAAATAGACAAGTATACCACTTGGTTTGGTGTTCAAAGAGCTTAACAGATTAATAGTTTCCCTTTCCTGGCTTCATCAAAATGTTTGAATCGTTTTCTACCCAGGAACTGTGATCAGTGTTATTGGAATACATTTAAACATTCCAAGAAGGGTTGGAGTTCGACATAGTTGGGTTATATTTATAATATGATTTAGCATTATTTAGCTAAATCGGTTTATGGTCAGCTCCGCATAACCAATACTAGTAACTATTCCCATTTATCATTTTCCACCATTTGTTTACAAACATTCTCCTCTCACAAGACCCGCAAAAATACTCCCCATGGCAACATACGTCATTTCTCCCATGACGTCACTACACGTGGTCTCGTGACGTCACTACTTTTACTCCCCAACTGTCAAGTCATTCTAACAACACAACACAACGCGTCCGGCGGTTTGCATTTCACCTCTTCATTGAGCTAAAACAACTAATAGCGGCCCAAAATCAGACACCCCAAGAGATGTCGGCATTTACATTGGCGCTCGACGCCACAGGTCAGATTATTTTTAAACCCAAACAACAACAAACGCGTCCATTAGGCATTGGCGCATGGACATCGGCGTTTAACGTCTACATGAGCGTATACATAGAAAAACACCCGGATAAGATACAGGATCTGCTTACCTACATCGAAACAATCAGGGGAGCTGCTATTAGGTTCGGCGGAGATTCATGGTTGCAATATGACCGTAGTTTCAGACAAAGGATGCAACGCGACCCGTCTCGCTCCTGGTGGGCAATGGATGGCCATTTATGGTTACAACATATGCTTCCAAATCAACAAGCGGCACACGCGCGCGTCACAAACAACACCACTACCACCAACCGCAGCAATCTCAACGCGGGTAGCGAAAATACCGGTAGCATCCCAAAGTTTTGCTTGGATTTTAACAAATTCGGATGTACAAGGTCTTTCTGCCGATATGCACACAAATGCATCACATGTGACAGCACTGCACACGGCGCACACACACGCTTTCGTCAAAAAGGGGGCGTTACAACCCCCCGTACTCAAACAAAACCCAACGCAAACAATACCAACTCAAGGCCTAGCACCAACACCCATTAGTATGCGTGTATTGTCACATTGGCTCAGTATTTACACCCCCTTCTACGCATCAGATGCTATGTTTTTATCGGAAGGTTTTTCTCAAGGTTTTCCACTACAGTACACGGGTCCACCGGGTCCTAGAATGGCTTACAATTTAAAATCCGCCCAACAACATCCAAACATGGTGGCAACAATGCTACAAAAAGAAGTTGATCTAGGTAGAATTGCAGGTCCATTTACAGCACCACCATTTCAAGATATGATAGTTTCTCCAATCGGTCTCGTTCCGAAGAAGTCAAATCACAATAATCAACAAGTTCAGCAAACGTTCAGACTTATTCACCATCTGTCATACCCTGAGGGGGAGTCTGTAAACGACTACATATCTCACGAGGTGTCAACAGTCAAGTACACTAGCTTTGACCAGGTGCTATCCGCGATACAAGGATTAGGCAAGGGTGCATACATGGCAAAATTTGATATTAAGTCTGCATTTCTCCTCATACCTATACGACCAGATGACTTTAAATTTCTGGGAATACAATTCAAACATAATTTCTACTTTGACAAATGTCTTCCATTTGGCTGTTCCATATCATGTGCAACATTTGAAAAATTTAGCACATTTTTGCAGTGGGTACTCAGGAAATACACCAAAAATGATAACATACAACATTATTTGGATGATTTTGCATTGGCAGCACTAGCCTCTAATAAGTGTCAACAAACTCTCGAGTCCTCCCTGGAGTTATTACAAAACATGGGCGTTCCCGTCGCAAAGGACAAAACGGTTATACCTACAACAAACATGACGTTCCTGGGTATCACAATAGACACAGTCAAAGCGCAAATTAGCATACCGATGGATAAGGTAGTGCCGCTTACTCAGGAAATAGATACTCTTTTATCACCTTTTAAGAAGAAATCAACATTACACTACTTGCAGTCCTTGGTGGGGAAACTTAACTTTGTATGTAGGGCAATTCCGATTGGTCGCGCCTTTTTAAGACGCCTCATTGACGCACAGCGCGGAGGGTCAAAACCTCACCACAGAATAAGGATAACACAAGGCATACGCGAGGACCTCAATTTATGGCGGCAATTTCTTCAAAACCACAATGGCACTACTGCATTTATAGATTCAGAGTGGATCAATTCATCGGATACACATTTGTTTACCGACGCGTTAGGTAACCATGGTTTCGGAGCCTTTTTCATGGGTAGATGGGCCAATGGCAGATGGCCTAACGAGTGGGTGCAGAATGGATGGACTAAGGACATCACTATGCTAGAGCTTTTTCCAATTGAATTGGCAGTAAGACTGTGGGGTAGACATCTACGAAACAAGCGAGTGTTGTTTGTTTGTGACAACCAAGCAGTGGTAGCAATTATCAATAAACAAACAGCAAAACCACCACGAGTTATGTCGTTGCTTAGGCGCCTGATACTCCTCTGTTTACAACATAATATCTTGTTCAAAGCATCGTATATTCCTACGCATGCAAACGTTATAGCTGATGCACTTTCGAGATTTCAGTGGTCCAGGTTCAAAGAAGCAGCACCGCGGGCAGACGAGATACCAGCACACATACCACAGGACATATGGCAGATCTGACGACAGAGGTGCAACGTCTAGTGCAGTCTTCTCTAGCATTCAACACGTGGAACCTGTATGAGTCTGCACAAAAGGCATTTAATGTTTTCCGCATCTCTTTCAGCCTGCCACACATTTGGCCCGCCCCGGTTGATCACCTTATGCATTTTATCGCTCATCTCTCCTTAACAGGAAAATCTCCTCGCACGGCAAAGTCGTATA